TGGATATATAGAAATAGATTAAAAATAATAAAGTCTTTAAAGAGATAGTAAAAGTAATGTGAAAGGAAAAAGTCATATAAAGACAGGAAACCCAGGGAGTCTAGATCCTGTATAGTATTGTGCTGATTGTGAATTTTTTGATTGCTGAAAAGGGCAGCTGCTGAGAGACCCGGAATTGAAAGAGGGGCTGTGGACATAAACCAGCCTAGATATTTTAAGAATGCCTTAACTTTAAAAAAGTCAAAATAGTCAGGTGGTGGCGCATGCCTTTAATCCCAGCACTAGGAGGCAGAGAGGCAGGCAGATCTCTGTGAGTTCGAGGCCAGCCTGGTCTACAAGAGCTAGTTCCAGGACAGGCTCCAAAGCTACAGAAAAACTTTGTCTTGGGGGAAAAAAAAGAGATTTAAAACAAAACAAAAAGTCAAAATTGTATTTGTCAAGTGAAAATCAGCGATGCTTTGGAGAAGAGGTTTTGCTTTTGTTTCCACAGGAAACAAGAGGTTGTGGATTTGTGCCAGGGTGATTTGGATCTGGTTTGATCAAGGGAGACCTCCTGAAACTTGGCAGGTGATATCTATCAACAAAGGATATAACTGGTCTTCCCAGGACTTGGTCATTATCTCAAATTTTCTCTCTGAGACCCTAAAAGTACTTTGCCCACATACAGCAAGAAGCAGACTAAAGAACACAATGTGCACATTCCCAAGAGGAAAGGGGGTGTGGGTGGTCTTTGGTTATTTTGTGAGTCATAGATGTTTGTTATATTTGAGGGATATAGGATAAAAAAAAACTATTAATCTCAGATATTAGTATATGGGTACAAATTCAAAGCCTATTCTGTTACACTGTATTTATGTTTTTACTCTTGTTAAAAGGGCTTTTGTATGTTGATACAAACTAAAGGTAATTTTGTTAGAATATACTGCATATACGTTTCTACTCTTAAATGATTTTGCATATTAATAACAGTTTATTTTTGTTACAACATATTGTTCTTTTTCTTTTCTTTCTTTCTTTTTTTTTTAGACAGGGTTTCTCTGTAGCTTTGGTGCCTTGTCCTGGAACAAGCTCTTGTAGACCAGGCTGGCCTCAAACTCAACAGAGATCCACCTGCCTTTGTCTCCTGAGTGCTGCGATTAAAGGCTCACACCACTACTGCCTGGCTAATTTAAAGGTTTTCTTGACAGTGAGACACATCTGCTCCTGGCAGCACCAATTTACTTCTGAGAAGTAAATTGAAGAAATTTCTTACGGAGTTTATTTTCATTGTGGCAAAGTTAACCACAGAGGAAAGAAACTGCACTTGCCTTTGACTGCTGACTATGTGCTGTGCATACTGGACATGCAGGACCCACAGGAAACTGACTGCTGCAAACTTTGCCAAAACAAGGTGGGATGGTCATTCAGGGCTCCAGCTTCACAGAAGAAACTGCCAGACATTCTGCAGGACACAGAGGAAAATGACTGACAGTCATTACCAAAATAGGTAGGACGGTCTTTGAAATTTCCTGCTTTATTGCAAAATCTTTCAGATACTATGGTCCTGTAGGCTGAAGATGGGTGCCCCAACATTGCAAAGAAACTTTGGGTGACCATCCAGGCCGTCAGATGTCTCTGTCATTTCTAGAGTTTTTTGAGAGTTGTTTGCAATACGCTTTTGGTTTACTTTAATATTATATCCTTCTGGTGCCTTTGGAGTTGAAGACTAGATAGTTATAGTTGCAGTTTTTCTTAGATATGATAGCAAACAAGTCAGGCATAAAATTTTGGATTTACTAAGATACGATAGATTATGGAGTATTTTCTTTCAGTTTACCAGACACAAATGAATTGGAATTTAGTACACTGTGAATGTAACCTTTATTTGATAATTGTTCTTATTGTGTGCAGTTTTACTATGTTAAAGTTAAAACTTTTCATTTTTGTTTAGAACGGAAAAAGGGAAATGTTGGGGAACACTATTTTCAAGTGTGTGACTTTTGTTTATGCTGCATTTGTTTAACTCTGTGAATCTGTGTTACTGTGCCTGTCTAGAAACACCTTATGATGAATGGTCAATAGTGAGGCAGGAGCAAGGACAGATAGGGCGGGCAGGTAGAGAGGGTAAACAGACGAACTGAGAACGAGGAGAACAAGGAGCAAATGAGAGACAAAAAGGAGGACACTAGGCCAGCCCCCCAGTCCCCCAGCCAGCCCCGGAGTAAGACTGAAAGTAAGATACACAGAAGTAAGAAAAGGAAAAAGTCCAGAGGCAAACAGTAGTCAGGATAATTTAAATTAAGAAAAGCTGGAAAGAAACAAGCCAACCTAAGGGCAGGCAGTCATAACTAAGAATAAGCCACTGTGTGTGATTTATTTGGGAGCTGGGTGGTGGGCTCCCCCAAAAGCCAAAAGAGTAAAATGTCACACAATGTGGTAACTTCCTTCTGGACAGCTGAACCGTGATTGCATTGCATATCACCCACAGCAAAAGCCTACCCACTGCCTGGTCAGCTGCTCGTGGTTTTACTGAAGCATGGTTTACTGCCGAGTGCCTCACAGGCAGGTGCCTTACCACAAAGCTCGGGGCAGTGACACTCAGGTTGCATCTCAGGCGCTCCCTGCATGCCACAGAAGCCTCATCTCCTGGAGGAATTCTCTGCTGCCAACACAACCTCGGACAGAGGCCTTGCAGCTCTTGTAACTTTCCCAGATACCCGAGTTTTATATTTTCCCTTAGTTTCTCTCCTCTCTCTCTCTCTCTCTCTCTCTCTCTCTCTCTCTCTCTCTCTCTCTCTCTCTCTCTCTCTCTCTCTCTGTTGTTGTTTGTTTCTTTGAGACAGAGTCTCTCTAGGCAGCACGGGCTGACCTTGAACACACAGAAATCTCTCTGTCTCTGCCTCCCAAGTGCCAGGCTTTCCTTACAGTTTTCTGAGCCTAATAATCTCTCTCCAAAAGAGATAATGTCTAAATTTGGAGGAAATATCAACATAGCACCTGCATGTATAAACATATTGATGTGTGTATGGGTGTGGTCTGAAGCAATCCTCTCAAGGTAAAACCTTCCTTCTGGGAAAGAAACCCCTTAAGACAGGATGCTCAGTCTAATGGGAGTGAAACAGGCTCAGAAAGTCCCACAGACTGAGCAGATACACTAGGTCCCTCGCTTCCCAAGCATATATAAGCAATGAGGACTGCTGAGAGACACTTTCAGACAAGCTGAGCTGCCTGGAAGGGACACCCTCCAACCTGTGGGGCTGCTTCCAGGATCCATGGGCTAGGGTGAGCTTTTGATGATGCAGTTTCCAGGATCCAGAGGCTAGGCTGTGCATTTTTGAAACCTTAAAGCCAGCCCTCAGGATCCAGGGGCTAGGGATACAACTGTCTCTGAATCGTTTCTGCTCCTGTGAGTAAGACCTCACCCATAGATTTGTAACTCCAGGAAACACATTGGTTTGTCCAATTGGGCATTGGTGGTAACTTCTTTGGTCTGCCATTGGTTCCCTATTTGGGGTAAGCAGACACTTGTTTATGTCTCCCCAGGAAGTGTCATACAACAGACATTTGCACTTGTGTCCCTTAAATTTCCCTTTAAATCAGAAGCAACATTGTCTCCAAGAAGAATGGAGGGGACCCAGGAGATCTGGGATCTAAACCGGGTGTTCTGGAAGGGCAGGCAGGGGAACTAAACAGGAGCACGGTGGGGCTTGGGGGGGGGGACTGCACCAGAGGACCAGATAAGTTCACAAACACATCTTCAGTGGCCCTGACATTCTGACTGTACAGTTTTCTCCAGCATAGACGCCTTGAGAGAGGACCAGAGATAACAGCGGCAGTTGGAAGGACTGTGCTGGCTGATCCTGCGGCAGCAGAATTGAGCTGTTGTCAAGGGAAGGACGCAGATGTGCCGGAGGGGGAAAGAACTGAGGAAGGACAGTGATGGTCTTAGTGGAAACATGAATAGGATACAAGCTTTGTTAAAGTCTATAGACAACCTAGCTATGTATCAACAGTGGAATGGCTGAATAAACTAGAGTATAGATATATATTTTTATACTTTTTAGCAAGTTAAGTAGATATATATTAACATGAAAAGATCTCCAGAATGTATTGTCAAGGGGGAAAATGTCCACCTATTCTAGAAATATGTGGAAAAACATCTGTAAGGATATAAGCATGCATAAATATTTGTATTTACATATTCAGATAATACATAAATACCTGCAAGCATATATGTATTTGTGTGTGTGTGTATGGGCAATATGTCTGAATTAACTTCTAAATTTGAGAGGAGGGAAGTTGGAGGAGAAAGGTTTTCAGTCGGGCATAGTGGCTATACCAGGGAGGGAGGGTCAGGAGTTCAAGGTCAGGTTCTGGTACGTGGTGGGTTTGAGGCCTCTGGGCCACGTGAGACCCTGTCTCAGTAAATAAAAAGAGTGTCTCAGTTATGTTTTTATTGATGTAACAAAACACCATGACCAAGGCAACTTACAAAAGAAACATTTAGTTTGGGGTGAGTGGTTCCAGTGGGTTAGAGTTTGTGACCATCATAGCAGGAAGTGTGGAAGCAGGCAGGTAGGTATGGTGCTGGAGCAGGAACTGAGATGACATCAGATCCCCAAGCACGAGGCAGAGAGAGCTAACGGAACCGAATGCTGTGCATTTTTGAAACCTTAAAGCCAGCCCTCAGTGACAACCTCCTCCAATAAGGCCACACCTCCTAATCCTTCCCAAACAGCTACACCAACTGGGGACCAAGTATTAAACATAGGAGGTTATAGGGTCCATTCTCATTCAAACCACTACACTGGGTTAGCGTGATAATCCCATGGTTAAGAGAGGCCCAGGGCTCAGTTTTTAGCACTTGTACCACAGCTTACAATCACCTATAACTCCAGTTCTCGAGGATTTGATGCCCTATTCTAGCCTCTTGAGGGCACCAGGCATCTGTGCTCGCAAAACACTTATAAACACACACACACACACAAAAACGCTTAAAAAAAAAAAGCAACAACATAGCCGTCATTGGATTTATTTTATTTTAAAGGTATCTGTGTCCACCAAGTAAATACACACTGGGATTTGTGCAATTTGGTCTGTCTTCCACGCTGGCATGCAACATTTTGGCAGATGTGGGTGGGCGGGCAGGTCATCTCCTGGTGACCTGGCTGTCTGAAGGGGATGCGGTGAACGGAGGGAGGGAGAGTGTGGTGAGAAGTTCCTGGTAAAGGGGCTGTTTCTGGCTAACATAAGCAAGTGGTATTCCCTTACATAGTGCCGAAGAGAAGGCTCTGGAAGGATACACCACCCCTCCTGTCGTCTGCTCTGCTGTGGACACTCAACGTTTCCTTGTGTTTGGGAAGAATCGTCTGGTGGCAAGCTTACACAAACTCCCTCAGATTCTCAGGTGTCCCGCTGGCACGGAGTCACAGACAGGATGCTGTCTGCCTCCTTTGCCCACTGCGTCCGAGACAGAGACTCATATGCCCCACCTGTAGTCTCTTTGGAGTTGTGGTTTCAGGGTAGGGAAACCACGTTGGGCCCCTCTTGAAAATAAGGGATTCCTATACGCTTAGGGCTATTTGGGGCCCTTCAACTAATTAAGCATTTGCCCTGGGGGCGGGGAGGAGTAGGAAAAGATAAACTTCCCAAGCTTGAACTATTTATCATTTGGGGTTTTTCCTGGGCTTTGCAGTCCCAGAGAAAGATGGGACCCTTATAAGGCTTTATCACACTAAGTATCAAAGGCCAGCGCAGAACCACTGAGCCACCACCAAAGCCCTGGCTTACTTTTTACGCCTTCCTACATAAGACTGACTTTGAAACACTGAAGACTGCCGCTCTGGACTTCCCCACACCGCTCTGAGGCTGTCTTCATCTCTGCCGTTCTTTAACAGGTAAAGAGCAGAAACGTCCCCTTGGAGGAGTCACAACCACTACAGCCCCCATGTACCAGCTGCTGTCCAGCCATCCACAGTCTTGCCTCCAGCTCTGAAGCTGGCAGACAGGGCACCCTGCTGTCGCGGTGGCCTGGTCTCCCACCCCGGGAAAGACCGGGTATCTGGATGCTCGGCTGGCTGTATTGCTTGGCTTAGCTGGGTGGTGACCTTCATTCCTGCAGTTATCCGGGAAACCACCTTAGCCGATGGGAGGAAAGGACCATCTGAATTAAAGTAATGTCCCCTCGACTGCTGGAGAGGAGAGAACCTGGGCTGAGAATGGCTGTAGGGAGGGGACTAGGTTCAGGCCCTCTGCCTCTGTCACTTCTGAAAAATCTCATCTGTCCCTTTCTTTTTTCTTCTTTGTTTTGTTTTGAGACAAGGTTTCTCACCGTAGCTCAAGCTATCCTGGAACTGACTCCATAGTCCAGGCTAGCCTCAAATTTAGCAGTTTTCCTACCTCAGCTCCTGGAGAGCAACACTCGCAAATGAGAGCCACCATCCCTGGCTTTTCTTGTGAGGTACTGGGTGTCAGAATCGCGGCTTTTTCATGTGCTGGGGAAGCTGTTTCCCCTACACCGTACCTCCTACCCCTGCCCCATCTTTAAAGTGCACTTAGTATCAGATGGAGATTCCCAAAGGAACTCTGTGCTGGGGAAGAAGGCGTGTTGGGAAAGAGCCAGACTCCAGCTCGAAGAGAAGGTGGCTAGAAACAGCTGTTACGTCAGTGAACTGGAAGCCCCAAACCAGAGTCGGAGGTGGGAAGCAAGTGCGGCCCAAAAGGGAGAAAGAATGAGCTCAAAACTTCAACCCAAGGGCACTGCGATAGAAAAACACATGGTAGCCCTCAGCCTGTCCACGCCCCAGACCCAGGGAACCCGTCGCTCTAACTCCGCTTGCTTGTAACTATCGGCCCAGACAGACGAGCGGCCCTTTCTCAGAGGTCCGCCTTCTCAACTTTTCAGAATATAGTTTTTAAGTCAACTCTAAGTTCTGAGTCTGATAGCTAGAGTAGAAAGTATCAAAAGAGGTTTGGGCCAGGAAGGGAAAGAGTCCCTTGAACAGTCCATGCTCTCAGATTGGGGGAGAAGGCAGCAAAAGGCAGACTTCACAGGGCCGAAGTGAACACCCACAATCTCCTGCCTCAGGTGAAGGGAGGATGGGGGGCAATTTAGCAACCCTTCTGCTTGGTCCTCCCCTGTGCTCTGTGTAAAGAGGGGGGGGGTGTTCTGTTTCTCTCTTTTCGTAGATGCTGACATTCTTCTGCTTAAGGCTTTGTATGTACACTGTGTGTGTGTGTGCATGTATACGTGTGTTTGTGAGCAAGAAGGAGCGTGCTCTCCTAGTTCCCGCATTTCCGTGATCATCTTGTGACCTCTACTCGGTGACTAACATCACTCGGTGTAAGAAACAAGCATATGGAAGAAAGAAGAAGACACTCCCCTCCTCCCTAATGCTGAACGAGGAGGGGAGACTATGCTTACAACCTGCTAAATACATCACCAGCTACTGAGAGAGAAGAACAGAGGAGACGCAGCAGCAGCAGCAGCAGCTTCTGGTATATAGATACAGAGTACAGAGTATGAGGGAGGAGACATCGACAGTCCAACAACACGGGCTGGGGAGGGAGCTAGTATCAGAGACCACAGGTTTTGCAGCATGCTGAGAGAAGAGGCCTCAGTCCCTCTTAGAAACTGGGAAAGAAAGAGAAAGAAGGCGTGAGGAGCCAGCCGGAGCCCAGGCTCTGTGTCAGAACAGACGGTATTGGCACACACATTGGTTTACAGTTCTGTCCCTTTAACACCGACAAGCCAACCCCATCCACCCCCACTCTCAGCCAGACCAACCCCTGCTTCTCCATCCCAATTCTCCCAGCATCCTCTTTCTCCATTCCAGTTCTCTCTTCCCTATGCTTTTCTGCCTGGCCAAACCTGGGAGGGGCTTGGCCTAGTACAGCCCAGCAAGAGACTGGCCATTTGCTCTCAATCCTAGTGATCCTAGTCCGCCAAGGATCTGACAAAATAGGTCCCACTGACCACCTGGGGTTTAAAGCAACCATGACAAGAAGCCTGGGGACACCAGGAACAAGGGGGTGGGGAAACTCCTGGCAAGAAGGAGGCATGGAAGCTGGAGGGGTTGGAGACTGGAGGCAGTTGGTTTTCATTTTCAGTGAACAGTATGGAGAGGACCAATGTCACTAGCTAGAGGGACCAAGAGTCAGACAGCATCAGAGTCTTTGGTAGCATATGCAGATCTAGGAATAGTACACAAGAATAAAACAGACATCGTGACAAGAGGCATCTTAGCTCAAAGCATCTCCATGTGTCTAAGGTTATTTTATGGTGGAGGCGGAGGCTTGATGGGATGTTCTCCCAAGCTCTCCTGTCGCTGTAGCTGTTGGCAAGCGTATACAATTTTTCTAAATGTGTGAGCGATCCCTAGTGGTGGAGATCAGTACTGCAGTTACCGCCAGACCTGAAGGGTAGCACCAAGGTACATGAGAGGTCAGGGTTGGAGGTAACCTCCATAAGGGAAAGCATGAACTGATGTGTGATTTGGGGTTCTTAGTAAATCCTTCTGTTTGTTGTTGATACAGGATCTCACTAACCCATGATCCTCCTGCCTCTGTCTGAGTGCTAGGACTATAGGCTTGTGCTAAGTACCAGGCTAAGCAGAAATTGAAAAGTTTTGAGATGGTTTAAGAAAAAATAAAGAGGGGAGGTGCTGGGGAGATGGCTCAGTCATAAGGTGCTTCTGCGTAGGGAAGAGGACTGTGTTCAGATCCCCAGCACACACATAAAGCCAGCACTGGGGGGACAGAAACAGGCAGAAAAGGGGGGTAGGGGTGGGGGTGAGCGACCAGCAGTCCAACCAGAACAGCAAGCTCCAGTTTCAGTGAGAGACCTTGTTTCAGAAAATAAGGTGCACATACACACACGCGCGTGCGCACACACACACACGCACGCACACATGCACACACACACACACACTATAAAAAGAAAAGAAACAGAAGAGACATGGCCAGATGGGAAGAGACCAGGGCCAGAGTGGGGAGTTGCCTCGGCTACCTGGAAGTGCAGATATGTAGCCAGGAATGGGAGTTAGCTGGCTGCTGTCTCTTGGTGGAGAGGGAAAAGCTTGGCCTGGTCCTCAGCCTCGTAGCCGCATGGCAGGTCACTCCTGGAGAAAGACACACATGTCAGAGCCAGTCCTGCCTATGAGATAACTAAGGCAGGGCAGGAAAGATGCATGCTCCTCCCAAACTAAGGACCTGCCCAAGGTCAGAAAGTTCCCCAAAGGTAGGAGAGAAAATACCAGTTACCAGGCATCAGGAGTCCTAATGAGTGGGAGGGGCTTAGACCTAGAGTGGGGAGAGGCTTAGACCTGGAGGGGATAGGGGCTTAGAGGGGGGAGATGGGGGGATGGGGCGGGGGGGGGATGAATAACCACAGTGAGCCTCATTTCCTCCTCCCTCCCCACGAGACTCCAGGGAAGCCCAAAGGGAGAAATGTTATTCACTTTTTCTGGTCCCACCAAGAGAAGCCCAGGTTAGTGGTATCTGGGTACCTGTTGTCGTTGATATCTGTGGCATTTCCTGGAGAGACCACCATTGAGAGCACACAGTTAGAAAAGGATGATGCGAGGAACAGACTCCACAAACCCTTCCCATGGGGCACCCTATCCTCAGTTACACAAAGCTGTACCCATGGGGCCCGAGCATTTGGAGGCAGAGGCAGGTGCATCTCCGAGTTCCAGGCCAGCCCGGTTTAGGCTGGACATCTACATAAGACTAAGGCTCAGAGAGTGGGCCCAAGTGGATGCCCCTATCCTCCCCACCCTTCCTGCCCTGAACCAGGAAAGGGATGCCAGGCAGTAACCACTCTAAGCAAGTGCCCTGCCACTGGCTCCATTCCTGGCATTATCTTTAATCTGATGCCCTGGTGTGGACAAGGGTCTGTTAGTGTCTGCCATAAACACCCCTCAATTTGCCCCAGGGACCCCATAGACTGGATTTTTGTCACTCACCATTGTCCATGTTGGCCTTCTGGTAGGAAGCTAAGGGGCCACCGGATGTGGCTCCGTTGCTGGCACAGGAGTTAGCAAAGCTGGAAGGAACAGAACAGAGACACAGCCTGTACTCTAACCATTCTGAGGACCACCAGGCCCACACTCCTCCCTTCCAGTCCATCCCTGGGAAGGAAACAGACAGTCTCGGAGATGGGGAAGAGAGCACCCATCTCCTAAGCACGTGCAGAGAGCTGAGAAAAGGGTCAGAAGCCACGTGACAGGAAAATAATTAAACTTAAATAAGCCAGAGCTGACACCACCCTGTCAGACGGCCAGTGGGCCGGAACTCTAAGCCACACCCATGGTCACTCACTACAGATCTGAGGTGGAGCTAGGTGCAGCCTGCAGGTGCAGGTTCTGGTAGTTCTGGAAGAGACTGTTGGTGTAACTGATACACTCGGGGCTCCGGGTGCCATAAGGGTTGGTGGGTGAGGAGGCTGGGTAGTGGCCAGGCCTCACAGGCTTAGCTACAAAGAGAAGACAAGAACTGTGAGGAGGCTGTTGGTTACCCTGTGTTTCCGCTGGTCCCTAAGGGCAACCCCAGCAAAATGACTTTACCATCCTCTGGCAGGAAGGTTAGGGCTAGAAGCAAGCACTGAGGAACTGGCTGGATTTGCTCGGGGTAGGAGATGGTCTCGCCTACTGGCATTCACTCACCAATCTGGGCAGAATGGCCCCGCTTGCCGGAGCTCTTGTACCGCACGGCTTCCTTGATGCGGTCCACTTCCTGCTGGTACCGGCGCTTGTCCTTCATGGCGCCCTCCTTGGCCTCCTTCAGTGCACCCTCCAGGGCCTTAACTCTCTCAGCCGTAGCCCTAAGTCGTTTTTCCAATTTAGGAAGCTCACAACGCAGATCTGCATTGTCACGTACCAGCTGTGGAGTGAGCCAGACAGAAGAAGCCGAGAGAAAAGCCATGACCCAAAACAGAGTAGCCCAGTGGAGTGTGGGGTTGAGCGCGAAGAGAGAGGATAAAGAAAAATCAGGACCGTGTCATTTCCTTGAGAGACCTCCTTCCTTCCCTTTAGGTAATACTCAGTTCTCTTCCGCTCCTTCCTGCTTCCTACAGCGTTTTTCTAGGCGAAAGCCTCCTCCTATAGCCATGTCTCAGGTTCCATCCCCCTAGACAATCCCCTCCACTGTAGGCCACAGCCTGTGCGGGGCAACAGCTCCAGGGCCCCAGTGGGGAGCAGCCGGCTCTGAGCATGCAAACAGCAGCAAAGCAAGAGCACGTGACAGGGTGGGCATGGCTGAGCCGTGCAGGTGAGTGGGGTGCAGAGCAGGGGTGGAAGCTCGAATCCGGGACCCCCTCACAGCCACACACGGAGTCTCCAGGAAGGAAAGAAAATGTTTGCGATCGGATCGCACAAACATTTGTGCTCGCTACCTTCGCGTCCGAGGACCTCCCGGGCCAATTTCCCGAACCCCACTTAAATTAAATTGGAGTGTGATAGCAACCACTCTGCAGCCAGAGAAAGCCCATAGATCCTCTGGCAGGGTCTGAGGGGGGGGGGGGGCGGCACTTGAGACTACTAAGGGGCAAGGCCTTGGGAATCAGGAGTGGGGGGCGGGGTGGCTGGGGGCAGTCAGGCTGCTCAGCATAGCAGAGAACACAGTGAGGAAAGGGACAGGCGAGAGCTAGGACCTCTGTTCAGCTGTAGGCATTTAGGGATTATCAGGTCACACTGTACTGCTGGTTTAGGTTAACTGTGGCATCGCTGAATTTCAACAACCCTACTTCCTGCATAGACTTGCGTCATTTGTCCTGTCTGTCCTTTAGGGGAGCGATATTTGGAGTTTGGGACTTAGAACAGAAGCAGGGGCTTTGAGGAGGGAAAAAGGAGGCAGGCAGAAAGAGAAGGGAGGAAGAAAGGCAGGATGGGAGGAGGGAAAGAGGGAGGGAGGGAGAGAAGGAGGGAAGGATGGGAGAAGGAAGGAAGGAAAAAAGACGGGGGTCATACTATGTAGCCCCAGCTGCCCTCAGACCCTAGCTTCTCAAGCGCTCGGATCACAGGCCTGTGCCGCCATACTTTGCTATGTACTGGGGTTGAGCTTTATGCAAACCCTGCAAGGACTCTCAGATAGGCCACGCCCCCACCTGCCGTCCTTTTTTTTTTTTTTTTTTTTTAATTTCCAAGCTGTCATAAAACTTTCCTGTAAAGGTGTTTTACCATTTCATCGTAAGATAAGGAAGGAAAGATAATATTTTAGCCCTCAGCAGATCCAAACCCAAACCCAGCAGGCTACGCCTAAGTCGGGTTTGGTAAATTTTTAAAAGGATGCACTTTACTGAGTCTTTCCTGTGTGGCCTGGGCACCACATAAGCGGGGGAGGAAAAGGTGAGCTTGGCTAGTGAGCGTGCGGCTAGAGGGGAACTTGGGAGGGAGGGGATGAAATTTAGGCTGGACTTGCTTTATGAATCAAAGAGCCCAACCGACTGTTGAGTGGTTGGCTCCTTACGTGGCCACGGATGCTTCTGCTATGGACACCCCAAACATTTCCTGTCCTTACTCCTCTGCATTGCCCTTCCACCCACCCACCCAGCCCATACCTTGGAAACCCAGGCTTCCAACTACAGAGCAGTGGCAATGGCAAGCGGGGGACAGAGAAGCAGCAACTCAGTGCAGGGGTTCTGACCGGCCCCCACTGGCCTGGTTGGGTCATGTGGAGAACCTCATTTAATGTCCTGCATACCTGCCCCAGGTAGGCAAATGGAGTTGTTGTTGTTGTTTGCTAAGAATAAAGCCCAATTACCTTGAATTTCTTATATCCCTGAAGTCTGGAACTATTATACCCTGACCCCAGCCCCACCGTAGTGCTAGAGATTGCCCTGCGGGGCTGTGTGCAGGCTAGGCAGAGTTCTGCTCAGTGTGACCTCACAGCCCTCCTCTGAAGCTATAGCCCCTGTGCCTCTTCCACACAATTCAGCCTCTTTAAGCAAAGATGGGCTGAAACTTTGAAGAAGGGAGAAGGGGCACAGAGCAGAGGTCAGTGTGCGCGTGGACCCAGATGAGATGCCAAGAAGGGAATCAGAGAACCGGAAGAGAAAGCTAAGGACTGCCTGCTTCCCCAATCCAAGCGGCCTTTCAGGATTTGGCTATCACAGGGGCCTGGCCTCCACTTCTGAACGCTTACCTGTTTGTGAACTTTTGTAAGCTGTTCCAGGTTGTTCTCAAGAAAGGAGATCTTCTGTTTCTGGGAGTGAATCCCCCCACTGTCCTCGGGTTCCATTTCTGCACTCTGGTTAGAGGGAAGGGAGGGAGGGAAGATATGGCTGGCCTGACCCAAACCCACCCCACAGGGGACAGAACTGGAGAACCTGGAGAAGGGGAGGAGGCCACAGGGTTGGTGAGACTTGAGGACGGCACTCACTTTCTTGACTCGAGTCGTGACGTCTTGAACGAACAGCTTGCGAAGGTTGTGGAGGGTCTGGAGTTCCCGGGCCTGCAAAGGATAATTCAAAATTGGGGCTACTGAGTCTGCCTTCACCTCCACAATGGTCTACAGTCTACACTCAAACGGTCTGTCACAGTCTGGGCCACAGACTGCAGTGAGGGGGCAGGAGAAACAGAGGAGGAAGAACTGAGGAGGACTGGCGTCGCTGCCTCCCACTCTGTTGGTTTGTTACAGGGGAGAAGCCACTCACAACTGTCTCCTCCAGCCCCTTGAGGTCCTGCTTGGACTGCTCATGTCGCTCGTACAGAAATCTGTAGCAAGAGAAATAAGGGGAGGGATGGACAAGGAAGACCCCTCAGGATCTCCTTTCCCTACCGTCCATTTTATCTCTGCCATTGTTCCTTACACAGATTACTCATGTTCACAATGCAGCCTTCAGAAAGGAATACTTAAAGAGAGCTCGGAGGTAATTTTGTGAAAAGCCATGATTCTGTTATTTACAGATAAAATTACCAGGTGTTCATTATTGCTAACTCTTTTTTATGCATGTAACACAGCCACGTGCTAAGTTTCTTGAGACCATACCATACTGCTTCAAAGCCTGATTTTCATACTAATCACCCTGGTGGTCCTGGAACTCACTCTGTAGACCAGGCTGGCCTTGAACTCGAGGAGATTGGCCTGCCTCTGCCTCCCACTACATTCGGCCTGGCTAGCAGTCAGGCTGTTGATCTCCCGGCCTTTCTCCCCACCCCTTCATACTTGCTTCCTGTGACTGTCCTCACAAAGGCCACCCGAGCATCCTGCATCTCTGCGCCTGTCTGCATCAGTTCCCGGCTGCCCACCCGCCAGCGAACGCCTCACTCACGTCAGCTCCTGCAGTTTGGCGCTCTTCTCGTGCTCTTCGTTCTTCAGCCTCTCATAATCAGCCTGCAGCTTCTCCAGCTCCAACTGCAGCTTCTGGTTCAGGCTAGGGAGGGCGGGGGCACAGAAGAGATGAGAGACACAGGAGAAAAGGGAAGTCCCACCTCTCACACATCAGTCTAAGGATGTCCCAGTGTGATGCTCCTGTCCTTAGGTATGGTTACAGACACCGGCTATGTTTTCAGGTCAGCATGGGACCCTGAGTACTCCAATTACAAAAGCCTCAAGGACAGGCTAATTCCTTCTTGGGTCTTTTTTTTTTTTTTTAATTGATTTGTTTTTTATGTGTATGGGTGTTTCGTCTGTCTGTGTGTCTTTGTGCTACATGTCTGCCTGGTACTTGAGGAGGCCAGAAGAGGGTGTTGAATCCCCTGGGACTGGAGTTACAAATGGCTGTGGGTTACTATGTGGGTGCTATGAATTAAACCCAGGACCTCTGGAAGAGCAGCCAGTGCTCTCAACCACTGAGTCATCTCTCCAGACCTTCCTAAGTCTCTTGAAGTTGGGCTCTGAAGTGTGTCATTGTTGAGGAAATGACCTTGGACATTAAAGATCCTGAAAGATCACTGGAGTGGCCACGGCGAGATGAGGGGACTGGAGGGACACTGGAGCCACCCCTAGGACCCTTACTCTTTAAGCTCATCAATGGTCCTCTGCTTCTCATTGATCTCATCCCGGAGGCGGGCCAGCTGCCGGTGATGGGCCTCACGGTGATTCTCCATCTGCAGCTCCAGGGCCTTCTGCAAAGGACCCAAGCCTATGCTCAGAGCCAGCCTCTCCAGCTGACAGTCAGCACAATCCTGGCCTTGCCAAACACACCATCCCCACAGCATCCTGGCTCACCTTCACTTCCTCTGCGTCCTGTGTGTCCGGTTCCTTGTCTTTTAGGGCCACTTCATGCACAGTTTCTAAGCGAAAGAGAGGAAGACAGATTCATAATGGCAGAGCTCCAGGCCACAGGGGATGGGTGTCTAGGGACATTCCGGGTTGGGACAGTCCAGTGTGACTTATCAGGGATGGAGGACAACAGAGGGTCTATGGTTCGTGCACAACAAGCTACATGCAAAGCCAGGCTACATGTTAAGTAGCACATGAGTTGAAACTGGGAACTCAAGCCAGTGTCGAGCGAGAGGCTATCGGGTCTCTTCTTCCTGATAGTGTATAACTTTGCTTCCCAGTCCCTTCTAGGACCTCAGCTCCAAGGATGGCTGGGATAAACCTGGGAGGGCCTCACCCTGCGCCTGAAGCTTGGCTAGTTCATCGCTCAGGGAGTCATAGGATTCTTCCAGGTGCCGCTTCTTCAACTCCACACTCTGCATGTATTCCGTAAGCGAACGGATCTTGGCCTCATGCTGGTAAGAGAAGGTGGGTGGCAGAAAGGAAACGGAGGGTATAAGGGTCCCATGCTGTGAACTGCAGCCCCCCTGTATGCCGCCCCCACCCCTGCTGCACTTTCTAAGAGGATTCGAAGTCAGGGGCCTATGGAGACTCTTCCTTCAGACAATCGCGTCAAAGGACAGTACCCCCCGAGTTTCACCTCTTTGGTCTGGATCCTCCCCGCCAGCACCCCAGATGTTCAGTCCTTGATCCCCACTGACCCAAGACACTGACATCAAGGTGGGCATTGGGAGGATTTCATTTTGTTTTTTCAAGACAGGGTTTCTCTGTGTAGCTCGGGCTGCCCTGGAGCTCAGAGAACCAACATCGGACAGGGAGCTTTCCTACACCGCAGAATAGCCTCTCTCACTCTTGGGCGCTCATCCTCAGACGCTCACCTGTGAGATGAGCAGCTGGCAGGATGACAGCTCCCTGCCAGTCACCTCCATCTTGCGGTGACATTCCACCTGCAGGTTCTCCAGCTGCCGACACCGCTTCACCACAGACTTGACCTCCGATTTGATTTTGCTGATGTAGAGTCGGGCCACGGTGAACTCCTCTTCAATGGCCCCGCTGATCTCCACTGGCTGAGGGTGGGCAGAGGGGGGAGAGCTACTTCTGAGGCAGAAAGGGTGCATCTACATCCTTCACCCTTTGCCAGAATCACACGCCTTTGCGGGTACTCAAGGAAGCCCCGGTTCCTGAGTACCTTTTGGCAGCCTGTGCTGGCTTGTTTAATGCCAGCTTGACACGAGCTAGAATCTTCATTGAAAAAAAATGCCTCCATAAAATCCAGCGGTAGGCAAGCTTGTAAGGCATTTTCTTAATAGTGATTGACGGGAGAGGGCCCAGCCCATTGTGGGTGGGGCCATCTCTGGGCTGGTGGTTGTGGGTGCTATAGACTGGCTAAGGCAGCCAGTAAAGCAGGGCTCTTCCGTGGCCTCTGCATCAGCTCCCGCCTCCAGGTTTGCCTCCCTGTCTTGGCTTCCCTCAGTGGACTGTGACTTGGAATATGTAAGCCAGACAGACCCTCCCCTCCCACCCCCATCGCTATTGGTCACAGTGTTTCATCACAGCCATTGTGGCCCTAAGACAAGGCTCCTAGCAACTAATGTTTCACTTCGAAGTCTCCTCTGACATTCAGACGCTGGATCCGGAGAGTCTTCCCTTCACCTTAAACATCAACCAGTCTTCTTTGGTTTGCTACATTGCCCTTGCCAGCCCCAAACCCCTGGGATTACGTGCTTAGCCTGTCTCAGCCTCCCGAGGACTGGCCTTACAGCTGCACGCCCTATTCCCAGCTGGACTTTCCTTTGTGGATAACCCCAAACAGGTCTTTTTTTTTTCTTTCTTGGTTTGGGTTTTTGTTTGTTTGTTTTTCTAGACAGGGATTCTGTGTGTAGCCATGGCTGTCCTGGAACTCGCTATATAGACCAGGCTGGCCTCGAACTCACAGAGATCCGCCTGCCTCTGCTTCTGAGTGCTGGGATTGAAGGCGTGCACCATCATCACCCGGCCTCCAATAGGTCATTTTCTTATGCATAGATGTCATCCCCTGCTCCCCATGTTACCTCTAGATCTTGCCACAGAAATCTCTCTCTGTAGTATGTGTGTCTTCTCAGTTGCTCTATAATTCTCTGTATTTCTGTATCTGAGGCACAGCCCTTCTTTTGTTAACTTTAAAAAAAATGGATCTTGCTTGCCCAGGCTGCCCTAGAACTCTTGTTTTCCCTGCTTCAGTCTCCCTGGGAAGGGGATGTTTCAAGGCTCTTTGAGCTGCCTTCCTCAGTACCCCAGTCCCACCATGCCTCTCTCTCCAGTGCCCAGCGCACAGAGCAAGAGCACCCTGAACAACACCGCTTTCTCTCCTGACTTACCAGCTTAATCTCACCGTTGCCCACGATGACACTAAACTCGCTCAGGTCCTTCATCAGCCCATTGAGTACCTCAGCGATCCGTTTCCGCTGGTGTCCACTGACCTCCTGGAGTCGCTGTAGCTCAGACTCCAGGGACAGCATGGTGGCCTAGGGACAGCCCCTAAGGTCACTACCATTGCCATCCTCCTGCTCCCCTTCCCAGCTTCAGCAGAGCCTCTCATATCATGTAAGACTCTGAGGGCTTCTATGGAGAGAATACAGACCCTGCAGAAGCCTCTGGAAGAGAGAAGGGCAAATTGCAGAGGCAGGGCAGGGAGGGCATCAGCACACTGGACACCTGTGCAGGAGGAGCCGCACCGCACAGTGGCGGGAAGCAGAGGTGTTCCCAGGTTAGGGCGCCCTCGGGCTACTTGCCAGCCACTTACCACCTTCTGGGACAGCTCGTCCACCAGCAGCTGGTTCTGCTGGCTCTTCTCTTCCACCTCCTGCGACTTCTGGTCGTAGTTGACTGCCAGCTCCTCCAGGGCCTGCAGGACTTCCTTCACCTCGTCCTTAGCAGCATCGTTCTCTGACTGTAGGTGGCTCAGCTCCCGCTGGACCTTCTCATTGTCTCCCCGAGTAGACACCAGCAGCTTCGAGGAAGAGGCGGAGCGTGTGAGAACACACTCGGTCAGGGATTGCCTCTTGAGCCCCTAGGTCTATGAGAGCTGAATACCCACACTCGCCTGGCACACACTTGAAGTACAAATCAGGGAGATGTGAGCGTCAGGCTTCATTATCCAAAATGGAAAAGCACCTGGACGCCATCGTCTGGATGGCAAGAATAACCTGGCTGGCTACTATGTAGCAACAACTAGGCTTGAACTCTTTTTAGTTAGTTACTTTGTTTGTTTTTTTGAGACAGGGTTTCTCTGTGTAGTCTGGCTGTCCCGAAACTCACTCACTACGTAGACCAGACTGGACTCGAATTCAGAGATCCACCTGCCTCTGTCTCCCAAGTGTTTGGATCAAAGGTGTGCACCACCAATGCCTGTGTTAGCCTTGAACTCTGATCTTCCTAACTTGACCTCCTAAGTTTCCAGATTACAATGATTTCCATGTGTCATTAGTCAATAAAGTAGAATGCCACCCACTTTTTTTTTTGATAAAGTTTCATGTATCCAAGTCTTTGTAGCTAAGAATGACCTTGAACTTTTATCCCCATTATTGGCGCTCAGCAGATTACAGGTGTGTGCTACCTCATCTGGTTTACTCTGTGCTGGGGATCAACCACCCGGCTTCATGCCTGCTAAGACCACACTCTGCCAACTGAGCATCCACATCCTCAGCCCCTCACTCCAGCTGTTACCTCTTCCTGGTCCAGCATCTGCTGCTTCAGCTTCTCAATGAGCTGGCTCTGCTGGTTGATCTCATCGTCCTGTCAGAGGCGAGAGGGGATGGTGAGGGGCTACTTCGCCCATTTTAGAGTGCCGGGACCAGAGGAAGAAGCAAGATCACAGAAAAATCAGAGTGCTGCTTTGAGTTGGGAAGCTTGCATACCAAAAGGAAGGCAGAACTTCGCTTTGCAATTCATTCCTTTGGGACAAGGGCAGTACCCAGCAAAAGTCTCCATGTCCACATCCTTAGCCTAAACCCTCACGATAGCATTCCAGTCTGGCCACATCATTTAAAAGCATTAAAAAAACTAATGAAAAATTGGGGTACTTCTTGAGACAGGGTCTCATGTACCTAAGGCTGGTCTTGAACTCTGCATGTCTATGTAGCTGCAAATGGCCTCGAACTCTGATCCCTGTCTCAGCCTAACAGGTGTTGGGATTATAGGCATGTGCCACCTTGACCAGGACCTCTGTGCATGTGTGTATTGAGACAGGGTCTAACATGTAGTCCAGGCTGGCCTAGAACTATGTTGGACTCAAATTCCCAATCTTCCTGTCTTCCTGTCTCAGTCTTGTGGTGCTGGATTTATAGGCGGGAATACCACACTTGGTTCAAAAGCAAACTCTCTCTCTAAATATATAGATGGATATGTGTGTGTGTGTGCGTGTGTGTGTATGTGTACAGTGTTTACTTTTTACATAATTATTTTTATTGTATATATGTATGTATATGTGCTATGTCTGCCTATGTCTGTGTACCTGCAGTGCCAGAAAAGGACATCAGATCTCCTAAAACATGAGTTACAGAAAGTTGTGAGCTGCCATGTGAGTGCTGGGAATCAAACCCAGATCCTCTGAAAGAGCAGGCAGTGCTCTTAACTGCTGAGCCATCTCTCCAGTCTCAAAAGCAAATGTTTATCCATAACAACCAAATACATTCTGATAAATGAATTCTCAGACATCTATTTAAAAGAAACTTTCTCAGACAGTTCCCAGGCTGGCCTCAAACTTCCTACGTGGCTGAGGGTGACCTCAATGTTCTGATATGCTGCCTCCACTGTGTGCTGGGATTACAGGCATGTGCCACCATGCTTGGTATTATATGGTACTGAGGATTGGACTTAGGGCTTTCTTTGTGTACGCCAGGCAGGTGCCCTACCAACTAAGCTAGACCCTTAGCCCTAAACAGATATTGTTATGAAGAATTGTTAAAACTATGTGATGTAATGCCAACTAAAAAAACCCGAACTGGTCAGGATGGTAACCCCAGCAGCACCTAGGAGGCTGAGCCAGGAGAACCAAGAGTTTGGGCCTCACCTAAAATATGAGACTATCTATAAGAAAGGAAAATAAGATGCAAATCACTTCTCCTGTATACCTCAGTTACAGAATGCACAAAGAACAGTAAGATATTAGCAGCGTTATCTCTAGATAAGAGTTGATCAGTCTCTTCCATTTTCTTCTGTTTTTAAAACTTATTTTCCACATCATAATGGTGGCACAAAGCAATGTTTAAAAAAAATTACAGGGGCTGGAGAGATGGCTCAGAGGTTAAGAGCGAGCACTGGCTGCTCTTCCAGAGGTCCTGAGTTCAATTCCCAGCAACCACATGGTGGCTCACAACCATCTGTACTGAGATCTGGCGCCCTTCTCTGGTGTGCGGGCATACATCGAGGCAGAATGTTGTAAACATAATAAATAAATTTTAAAAAAAATTACAGTATGCTTGTGTTTGTGTGGTGTGTGCATGTGCGCATGTGTGTGCCCCGATGCTCATGTGGGGCTAGAAAACAACTTGTGGGGGTCGGTTCTCTCCTTTATGTCATCGGGCTTGGCAGCAAGCACCTGTCCCTGCCGCTGAGCCGTCCTGCCACTGTAAGCGAGCTTGCGTCACCCTGCCCAACTGCCTGCACCTTGTCGTCAAGCTGCTTGTAGAGGCGGCGGATCTCTTCCTCATACTTCTGCCTCTCCTCGGGTGCGATGCGGACCACGATGGATGAGTTGTCATTCACAGGAGTCTCCTCACACAGCTCAGCTCCCAGAGCTGAGTCCTCCCCAGCCAGGCGCTCGGTCTCAGGCACATTCTCTCCTGACAGGGACAGAAGGAAAGAAAAGACAGTGTGATGGCTGATATTACCAACTTAACAGCATCCAGCATCACCTATGGGACAAAGCTCTGGATGTCTATGAGGGCGTTTCCATACTGAGTTAGTTCAAGTGGGCAGATCCCCACCTTAAACGTGGGCAGCACCGGGCAGGTCCGCCTTAAACGTGGGCAGCACTGGTCAGGACCACCTTAAATGTGGTAGCACCATTCCATGACTGGTGTCCAGATGAAAAGGAAGTCACAAGTGGAACACCAGCTCTCATCTGTTTCCTGACTGCAGGTGCCACGTGGGCAGCCACCTCAGGCTCCTGCACCCTCAGACTGTGAGCCAGAGTAGATCCCCTCACCCTTAAGTTGCTTCCCCTAGGTGCCATGTCACACAGCACTGAGAAAAGTGGCTACAGGTGGAGAAGAGACAGCCACATGCTTAAATCCATTCTCCCCAAGTCCTCAGAGCCAGGATCTGCAGGCCCTCAGGCCCCTCCATCTTTGGAGGATCTTGGTAGATAATCAGTTTCTTCACAACTGTTCCTCTGCATTTCCAGAAACACAGTCTCGCTTCCTAGAGATTGTTGCTGGCCCTAAACACTCCCAGACTAGGCTGTTCCTAAGCCACACATCTTACTTTACCTCCCATGGGAGGGTGGGTGCAGGGGATCCCTCTCCAAACATTGCGCCACCACTGTCTCTTACCCCCATGGGGTCCCTCTCCAAACATTGCGCCACCATTGCCTCTACTCCCATGGGGTCCCTCTCTAACCATTGCACAAACACTGCCTCTTACTGCCATGGGGTCCCTCTCTAACCATTGTACCACCGGCTGCCTCTACTCCCATGGGGGTCCCTCTCTAACCATTGCGCCACCGACTCAGCTCGGCCTCCAGCTTTGCGATGGTCTCCTTCTGGGCCTTGGTCTTCTCCTTCTCCTTCTCATATTTCTTCTTCCATTGCTCAGCCGTCAGCTCCAGATTCACTGAGGCAGTATTCTTAATAGTCTTTGCCCTGAGTTGAAGAGAAAAGAAGCAAAGATGAGACTCACATTGTTCTCTGGTGACGGGGTGGGGATGGTAAGGGATATGACCTGGGACCCCTCTGGGGACCCCGACACTGACCGCTGCCCAAACATCAGGGTAGACTTTGTCTCCGCGTCATTGTAGCTGGACGGTGAGCAGCAGATGAACATGGTGGTCCTACAGTTTCCTCCCAGGGAGTCCTGAAGAATCCGCGTCATTTTGCTGTCACGGTACGGCACATAGCTTTTCTAGAGCAGGAGACAGACCACGAATGAGAAACACTCTTTCAGCAGGGTAACAGAGGCTAGCGATTCTCCCTGGGGACTGAACAGCCACGGATTGGGGCATGAGATGGGGAAGGTTGAGGGGTGACGGTGACCTAGGGAACACTTACAGTGCCCTCAGCCAGGGCAGAGATCACGTTTCCCAGGGCCGACAGCGACTTGTTGATATTCTTTGCCTCGTCCAGCACAGCCCCTTCTGCTCCGGTCTTGCTGACCTGTCAGGGAGTTACCAGACAAGCATATCGGGAAGAGCCGAAACACTGTTTCCACTTGGAAGAGCCAAGCCCCAAAAAGAGGGAGGAAGTAGGGAAGAGGATAAAGAGGGATGCTCAGCCAGGACCAGGAAGACCCTTCCTGCATTCCCGTGAACTCTCTTGCAGACGCCCTGACCATGATAGTATAGATAGGTTATATACTATCATTTATATGAGATATTCAAAGCCAGAGGGTAAACCAGTGGTTTGCAGGGATGGGTGGGTGGGGAAAATGGGAAGTAACCATTGGGTAATAAAAATGTTCTAGAACGTGGCAGTAGCGACAGTGAAGGAGAGTTTTTGAGAGAAACTCAAGTTTTGAGAGAAAACTAAACCAGCTGGATTGTTTGGGAGTGAGGGCCCCAAGACTCACTATGTAACCCGGGCTGGCTTGATACTCATGTTCACCTTGTTCCGGCCTGACTTCAGGGTTACAGACGTGATTTTGCAGGTGCACAGATGTGCAAAGGTCAGAGGTCAACTTGGGTGTTGCTCTTCAGAAATTGTCACCTTGCTTTTTAAAATATCTATCTATCTATCTATCTATCTATCTATCTATCTATCTATCTATCTATCTATTTATCTATCTATCATGTATACAATATTCTTTCTGCGTGTATGCCTGAAGGCCAGAAGAGGGCACCAGATCTCATTACAGAAGGTTGTGAGCCACCATGTGTGGTTGCTGGGAATTGAACTCAGGACCTTTGGAAGAGCAGGCAATGCTCTTAACCGCTGAGCCATCTCTCCTTTTTTTTTTTTTTAGTCAAGGTCTCTTGATGGGACAGGGAATGTTCTGGTTAGCTATGCTAGCTGGCCAGCGTGTCCCAGGACCTGTCTCCACCTCCCCGGTGCTGGAACTACAGGCATGCACCACCATGCTCAGGTTTTTACATGGCTGCTGGATACTGAACTCGGGTCCTTCTGCTGGCAAAGTTAGCACCTTAGCAATCCCCCAGCCTGATGTTTTGTTTTGTTTGAGTCAAGGTGACTCGTCCAGGCTAGTCAGACTCCTATGTTGTTAATGATGAACTTGAACGTCTGATCTTCCTACTGCCATCCCTCAAGTGCTGGGATAACAGGCATGCAGCAGTACGCCCTGCTTTACACTGCTAGAGAGACATCAACTGTGAGGTCTTATTCCTGCTAAGATGGCACTCTACCAAAGAAGTATGCTCCCAGCTCTGGATTATAAATGTGTGTGTGCCTTTGTGTGTGTGTGTGTGCGCGCATGTATGTCTATGGTATGATATGTGACAGGCTAAGGGAAAGCATAACATGTCATGGCATGTGTGTGGTCAGAGGACAACCTGAGGTATATATTATAGCATGTGTGTAGTTAGGTGTATGTCACAATATGCATGTGATCAGGTGTATGTCACAGCATGTGTGCATTCAGAGGACAACGTCAGGTGTATGTCATAGCATGTGTGCAGTCAGGTGTATGTCACGGCATGTGTGTGGTCAGAGGACAACCTCAGGTGTATGTCACGGCATGTGTGTGGTCAGGTGTATGTCATAGCGTGTGTGGGGTCAAAGGACAACCTCAGGTGTTGGTCGTCACTTTAAGGCTGGGTCCCTTGGCTGCTCACTATGCACACAGCAGCTTCTTCCGCGCACAGCAGCTCCCCCTAACTGTAGGAGCCCTAGAATTGCAGACCCGGGCACCTGCCTGGCCTTATGTGACTTGGGAGATCTGAGCTCAGGTCCCCAGGCTTGCACAGCAAGTGCTGCACCTTTGAGCCACTTCCCTGGGAATTAGTTTAGTGGTAAAAATATTTGCTTATAGCCGGGCGGTGGTGGTGCACACCTTTAATCCCAGCACTTGGGAGACAGAGGCAGGTGGATCTCTGGAGACCAGCCTGGTCTACAGAGCTAGTTCCAGGACAGGCTCCAAAACCACAGAGAAACCCTGTCTCGAAAAACCAAAAAAAAAAAAAAAAAATTTGCTTATTACTGTGCCATGGGGTGGGGGGACGTACTATCTGCCTGTTCCTCCCGTGTTGTGCTGGGATGAAAGGAGTATCACCACCACTAATGGCCAAATGTGGGTTTTTTTTTTTCAAATTTAATTTTTGTTTTTATTGTTTGTTTTGCTTTTTTTTGTTGTTGTTGTTTTCTGGCTTTTTGAGACAGGCTTTCTTGGTATAACCCTGGCTGTCCTGGAACTCATCCTGTAGACCAGGCTGGCCTTGAACTCACAGAGATCCACCTGCCTCTGCCTCCTGAGTGCTGGGATTAAAGGCGTGCGCCACCACCGCCCGGCTAGCTCAAATTTAATTTTTAAAAGGCAAACCTTCCCCCAAGGATTTCTTTTCAGCCCACCCCCCACCTTCCCCAAATTCCCGACCTTCTCGCTCCCGGCCAGGTCCACAAGGTACAGCTTCCCGCTGAGCTTCTGCTCCGTCTCTATGTTCTCCTGCTTGATGTTGATGAGGAAGATGCTATGGCTCCGAGAGCTGTGCTCGTTCATATCTGCAGGAGCAGGGAAGCAAGGTCCTTTACCTACCAACCCCTGCGGAGCTGCAGCCCTTGGCCATGTGCCCTCGGGCTGCCACTCCACCACACACACACACCCCGAGAGAGAAAGGGCCCCTAGGACCATCCCTGCTGTGGCATCTCCTGGGCAGCGGGTTACACAGGCAGGAGACCCCTACTCCTCCCGCTTGCCCCCGGTGGGCACAGAAGAGAAGCCAGAAGACCTCCAGACCCAAGAGCCCGTCATCTCCCCACTCACTGGTGACAGCTACGTGGCGGTTTGACTTCCCTTCATCGATCACATCCAGAATCTCCTCTGGGCTGGACACAAAGCGTTCGGTACAACCCTGTCGGAGGAAAATTGCAGGGACCATATGTTTTGATCTTTAGATTAAGCTGCCCGCATACCACCCAAGTGACCTGTTGGGAGACTTCCAAGCCCCTTTGGGCACCTCTCGCTCATCCACCATCTGGGTCGCCAGCCCGTTCTCCCTTACACAGGTTCTTGGCGCCCCAGTAGCATAGGCAAGAGCCCAGCCTGATCTTACCTTGACAAACGGCACCCGATTTTTGTCTTCGTGCACAGACAGGTTTGTCTTGGTCACTGAATCAAGACAGAGCAGGGTGAGTGAGGCCAGCACACCTGGACCCACCCCTAGATACCCTGCAGGCATGAAGACTTCACGGCGGGACACACACACACACACACACACACACACACACACACACTCCAGAGGCCATGTTCACAGGGAAGTACCCTTCCTCCCCTCCTCAGGAGACTGTGTCTCTTTTCTGCCTCCGTACAGTTAAGGGCTGAGCCTTAAGCTAGCTCGTCTCCTGACTCCCCCAAGCTTTGGGGAATTGTTATTCTGTAGCAAGGGGACTGAACACAGACTTCCTGCTAGGAAAGCCTTTGACCTCCTGCCCTATATTCCCCCCTTCCTCGTCCCGTCTCTGTTTTTGTTCTATTAATTAGGGTTTGAAGTAAGGCCTCTCTCTTGCTAGGCAGGCTCCACTCCTCACCTCCATCCCACCCCTTTTCATCTGTTTTCCTTTAGAGACACAATCTCGCTAAGCTGCCAAGAGGGAGCGCTCAAAAAAAACAAAAAAAAAAAAAAAAAAAACTCACAATCCTGCCTCAGCCTCTGAGTAGCTAGGGTTCCAGGCTAGCATTCCCATCCCTGACTGAAACCCTGTGGAGGAGCAGAGCTTAGGCCTCTGGTGTGAAGAGATATGTCCTGGATGCCCAACCACAACCAAACTCCAGCTAAAGGTGGTCTCTCTGTCCTCAGGCTCCTCACAGGCCTTTACCCACTGAGCCCTAGTACTCACCATCCAAAAGGTCTCGGATCTTATCCAGGTAAATCTCAAAGTAAGAAACCTGGTCGGGAAGAAAGTGGATGATGTGAGATGTTCTGTTGTTGATGTTTTAATTTTATTTTTATGTGCAAGAGTGTTTTGTCTGTCTGCATGTCTGTTCATCATATGCATGCATGGTGTGAGAAGAGCCCATCAGATCCCCGGGAACTGGAGTTAGAGAGGGTTGTGAGTCACCAGGTATGTGCTGGGAATTGAACCCCGGGTCCTCTGGAAGAGCAACCAGCGTTCTTAACCTCTGAGCCCTGAGAGGGGGTGATCTTAAATCTGACACAGGAATCCCAACCAATGTGATTATCTCAAGGAGGGCAGTGGTTGGGAAAGTGCAGGAGAGGACATCTCGGGAAGAAGTTGAGATAACCAGAGTGGGGAGTAGCGCTTTAGCTGGTTCACTCTAGGCTTTTCCATCTCTGGGTCCCCAGGAGTCGTGTGCTGATCACCTTGATGTGGAACTCCAGGTTCTCATCCATGGAGTAGATGTGGTTGAAGATGTCTCGAGCAATCCGAGGAATGATTCCCATCAGCTGAGGGTCGTGCAGCTTGCCCTGGGGAGTCAAGGCATAGCAGAGTAAGGCTCGGGACGAGACAACGCCGAGGTGGGCAGGGGACACAGAGGTGAAGAGGGACACGAAGAGCACCCTCAGTTAGGAGATGGTCACCGCCATGTCTGCCTTCGAATGGAAGCTGATAACTGAGCAGCCTTTGGATTTCCATTGCTGGTGCTTCTCTGGATCAAAGGAGGACAACCGGGGTCACAAGAGGGAGGGAAAGTGGGTGCCTAAAGGGGTTCCTCTAATCCTCCCTACCACACTGCTCATTTCATCCTCCAGACCCTTCTGCCTCTGATTCAGCCCACCCTCGAGTCCCGATTGTCCCCAGCAACGATTCTTTGATCTTCTGTGAGCCTTCCTAGCACCCCTCAAGCCCCCAGTCAGAACTCTCACCTCCATGGTATGTGTTTTCCCTGAGGACGTCTGCCCATAAGCAAAAATTGTGCCATTGTAGCCAGCAAGGACATCTGGAAGAGAAGGCAGAGAAAGAGATCTGGTGTGTGGGGGGTGGCGAGCACGGGGAAATACACTCAGGACAGACGTCTCTCACCTTTGACGATCTGCATGGCACATGCATGATAAACTTGCTCCTGAGTCGTGTTTGGGGGGAATACACGGTCAAAGACATACGGCTTTCCCTGGAGGGGAAGGAACACAGCCATCAGCAGGGAGTGTGAGATGGAAGAGGGACCCGCAGGCCTTTCCGTCAGCCTGCAGAGGGCGTCCTACTCCGGAGCCCCTGCCGGGAGAAGCGGTTCAAATCTGACAGCGGGAGGGGTGCTGTGTGCTTGGGTCACTAGGGAGTGCCTTGCAGTGTAAGGGGTCCTCATCTGGATGTCAGATCCCAGCACTCCACTAACCCCAAACACCTTCCTGGGGAAAATGGAGAGGGAGGAATTGTTATCAGTGAAAAGAACCTCAAAGTTTAAAAGTTTCTTTCTCTGCAGAGCTGTACGTCTCTTACAGAACTTCAAGATACACTAAGAAGGGGGCTGAAGAGATGGCTCAGCAGATGGAGCATATACTGCTCTTGTAGATGATCTGCGTTCAAGTCCCTGCAGCCACACAGCGGCTCACAAGAGTCCTTAACTCTGTTCCATGGGATCTGGTGGTCTCTCCTGGCCTCTCCCAGCATGTGCAATACACTCACACATGTGTAAAACACAAACACGCAATACACTCAAATACGTATAAAATACTCACATACATGCAATACACTCATGTGCAAAACACACACATACATTCAAAACACTTATCCATGAACTTTTTTTTTCTTTTTCAAACCAGGGTTTCTTTTTGTAGCAGCCTTGGCTGTCCTGGAACTAGCGCTGTAGACCAGGCTGGCCTTGAATTCACAAGATCCACCTGCCTCTACCTTCTGCATGGTGGGATTAAAGCTTGTACCACCACCTGGCTCATAAACTTTTTTTTTAAATATGCAAAATTGGTTACACAGGTGTAGACTGTTCTCTGGGGTGTGAGGAAACACACACACACCATACAGAAATATGGGCCTACAGGCCTCTGTGCAGATACAGGCACAGTTCCCTCGTTTCGAAAGAAATATATGACATCAGAAATGGGGATGCCCGGTAAGGAACATGGCTTGGGAGAGCACTTGTCTGCCATGATGCCCTCAGGACTGGCGACAGACAAACTGGAGCAGGGCCTCAGACCCACAAGTAATGGGCCAGCCTAGGTCATGTGCTGCAGAATGTATATAATTCAGAAGGCTAAGCTTGCTTTATTTTATTTTTAAAAGTGATTCCTTTCTTTTCTTAAGATTTATTTATTGGGGACTGGAGAGATGGCTCAGAGGTTAAGAGTTAAGAGCATTGCCTGCTCTTCCAAAGGTCTTGAGTTCAATTCCCAGCAACCACATGATGGCTCACAACCATCTGTAATGGGGTCTGGTGCCCTCTTCTGGCCTGCAGGCATATACACAGACAGAATATTGTATAAATAAATATTTAAAAAAAAAGATTTAGCCGGGCGGCGGTGGCGCACGCCTTTAATCCCAGCACTCGGGAGGCAGAGGCAGGTGGATCTCTGTGAGTTCGAGGCCAGCCTGGTCTACAAGAGCTAGTTCCGGGACAGGCACCAAAGCTACAGAGAAACCCTCAAACAAACAAACAAACAAACAAACAAATAAATAAAAATAAAAGATTTATTATGTAGTGTTCTACCTGCATGTACACCTGTAGGCCAGAAGAGGGCGCCAGATCTCATTACAGGTGGTTGTGAGTCACCATATGGTTACTGGGAATTGAACTCAGGACCTCTTGGAAGAGCAACCAGTGCCCTTAACTGCTGAGCCATCTCTCCAGCCTCAGTCAAATAATTTCTAATCATATCTAGGGTCAGTGACAGGTTCTCCAGCTGTGCCTCCCTGCCAATCAGTGTTATCTGTTAAATTGTTTTATTGGAGTCCACATGTGTCCATCTGAAATGTGAGCCCCTAGGTCCACCCGTGGCAGAGTTTGGGAGATGAACTTTAACAAATTAACAAAAGCCCCACCCCGTCCCCCAAAAGGAAGGTAGCTCAGCCAGAGTCAGACAGACAGCTGTACACACTCTCTCCAGTTCAGCACGTGCACACCGTGTTACTCTGGAAAGAGAAACGGGGGAGACACGTTTTATTCTTTACGCTTTGTCATTAGTGCTGGTGTTTATTTGTTATTTTAGCTTTTTGGTGTTTATTGTTGAGAGAGAGTCTCACTGTGAAGTTCTGGTTGGCCTGTAACTCATAATGTAGCCCAGGCTGGCCTATAACTCACGATGTAGCCCAGGCTGACCTGTAACTCACGATGTAGCCCAGGCTGGCCTGTAACTCATGATATAGTCCAGGCTGGCCTGTAACTCATGATGTAGCCCTGTAATATCAGCACTTGGGAGGCAGTGGCAGGAGGATTTCTAAATTCTACAGCGTGAATTCCAGGACAGCTAGGGACTACACAAGAAACCTTGTCTCAAAAAATAAATAAAAATAGAAAGACTTGGGGGCTGGAGAGATGGCTCAGAGGTTAAGAGCATTGCCTGCTCTTCCAAAGGTCCTGAGTTCAATTCCCAGCAACCACATGGTGGCTCACAACCATCTGTAATTGGGTCTGGTGCCCTCTTCTGGCCTGCAGGCATATACACAGACAGAATATTGTATACATAATAAATAAATAAATATTAAAAAAATAAAAAGACTTGTTTTATTTTGTTAATTACATGTGTATGTATGTATGTGCACATGGGGGGCAGGTGCTCAAATCGTCCAGAAGAGGGCGTTAGGTCCCTTGAGCTGGAGTTAGGGGCTTTAGAGCTGTCAGTCATAGGTGCTGGGAACAGAGCTCGAGTCCTCTGCAAGGCAGTGTATGCTCTCAACCACTGAACCATCGCTCCAGCTCTATATCATTCAACGTAAAAGTATTTCATTTAATATGTTCTACTGTCTCATAGCTACATACTCTATAGCTGAAGATGCCACGTACTTTGATTACAGGACATACAGAAATCAACCCCAACCCACCAGGAAACTTCCTCCCTGCTAGCTAGTTTTCCTGCTAAAAGACTCCCTGGGGGCTTCTGGAGGAGAAAACATGTCAGTGTATTGAACCTCTATGTTACAGTTCTGACCTGCCAGGTAACATGTGCCCACTGCTGCATTGGGGACACAGCTGTCACCAGGTACACAGCCTGGTCTACAGAGCAAGTTCCAGGACGGACAGAGCTTCACAATGAGACCCCAGGGCAGTGGTACCTAACCTGTATGTCAAAATCCCTTTGAGGGTCACATATCAGTTATTCTGCGTATTGGATATTTACATTATGATTCATAACAGCAAAATTACAATTACGAAGTAGCAATGAATAATTTTCTGGTTGGGGGTCACCACAGTGTGAGGAACTGTAATAAAGGGTGGCCATGGTAGGAAAGTTGAGAACCACTGCCCTCGGGTGAAACCAACTGTCGTTATTTTGCTCAATGGACGTGTTTTCAGCTGCATTCTGAATACTTATATTCATCCCTATAGACCTGGGCTGTGGCCAACATTGGCCAGAGAGAGTCTTTATACAGTGGGCACCAGTCAATGCACAGGTGTGTAATCAGTCAAAGTACTAAGACAAGGGAACTGGATGCTCATCCCTAAATGGGTTGTATTTATCAGCTCCTGCCTACACATCGCAGCCCTAAGTGGGACATTTTTATCACACACACACATACACATGCACACACACATACGCACACACATGCATGTACACCCACACGTGCACACACACATGCGCACGCACACACATGCATGCACACATACGCATGTGCATGCACACACACACGCCAGCGCACAAACACAAGCACACATTCCAATCTCAGGGAACCTCGAGGATGAGGAGACAGGTGCACAGGCTGAAGGACAGGGAGAAGCAAGCGGGTGCAGCGCTGTTTTCTGGACATGACAAGTGTCGCTCAGGAACTCACACACCTTTAGTTGCCACCACCAGACCCATAGGAGCTCAAGCCAGGCACTCCAGCACAGGTGGGGGAGGCACTCCAGACCCAGCCTTAACGAGCAGTTGGGGCAGTCGGTGGCCGCTGGGGAAGGGAGAATCGCATGTCTTTTAAGAGGCTCTCTTACTGGCAGGTTTTCCCATGCGCCATGGGGCCAGGACTAACTGAACTTACCACACCACCAACAAAAAGATGTGCGGGACTCATCTGGGGACCAACAGGGGAGTGGAGGAGGGTATGAGGGATAGGTGTGATTATGTTGAATTGTATACATGTATATATTCTCAAGAAAAAATATAAATTACTGGGGGCTGGAGAGATGACTCAGTGGTTAAGAGCATTGCCTGCTCTTCCAAAGGTCCTGAGTTCAATTCCCAGCAACCACATGGTGGCTCACAACCATCCGTAAAGAGGTCTGGCGCCCTCCTCTGGCCGTCAGGCATACACACAGACAGAATATTGTATACATAATAAATAAATAAATATTTTTTTAAAAAAAATATATAAATTACTTTCAAAGATGACATAATAATATCTTTTTTGTTTGTTTTGTTTTTCAAGACAAGGTTTCTCTGTATAGCCCTAGCTGTCCTGGAACTCACTCTGTAGACCAGGCTGGCCTTGAACTCACAGAGATCCGCCTGCCTCTGCTGGGATTAAAGGCATGCGCCACCACTGCCTGGCACAATAATATATATCCTTTTCCTTATATATCTTTTCACAAAGGAGAAACATTTCTATTTTTAGATATTAAAAGCTACAGACTCAGGCTGGAGAGATGGCTCAGCGGTTAAGGGCACTGACTGCTCTTCCAGACGTTTTGAGTTCAATTCCTAGCAACCACACTGTGACTCACAATCATCTATAATGAGATCTGGTGCCCTCTTCTGGCCTGCAGGCATATTTGCAGGCAGAACACTGTAAAATTAATAAATAAAAATCTTAAAACAAATAAAACAGAAAAGCTACAGGCTAGACATGGTAGTGCATACCTTAATCCCGGCAGAAGTATCAGGATCTCTGGAAGTTTGAAGCTAGCCTTGTCTTGTCTATGTAGTGAGTTCTAGGCCAGGCAAGGCTAAATAGTAAGACCATGTTTCAAAAAATAAATATATATGGATATACATATATATTTATAAATAC